GGTTTTACCTCTTCCGGAGGGTTATATTATATATTATATTATATATTAATATATATATATGTATTTTAATTTTTTTATAATAATATAATATATTATAATATAAAGCGTAATACTCAATTATTTTATTTAATTATATACCTTTTACCTCCCACTGTACAAAGTACATAGCGCTCTCGAGTTTGAGGCATGCAGCCTGGGCGGGAATGGGTGGACGAGGCTCTCTGTTCTTGTAACCAGATGCAAAGCGTGGCGCTTAAATGGCTATCGTCATTCGTCCAAATGTAGCCGCTGATAAAGGCAAGCCTGGCACGGGCCGGCGCTTAGGGCCGCAAGACGACTGGCCAGCTGGCAGAGGTCGGCTCCGCTTTGTCAGCAGACTGTCATCTGGCATCTCCTCACAACTAATTATAGCGCACGACAGAGCTAGCATAAACAGCTTCTCCCCCGTCGCAGTCAACAACTTCATCTGCTCTTGTTTTCTTCAGCTTCCATTTCATCGCGAACATGGCCTCCTTTTTCCATGATCCTCGGCGCCCCGCCCTATCGCAGGTGGTCGAAGCACTTCAACGACTACAAAACGATCCTCAACAGCTTGCCCATGAAAGAGAGGGACGCTACGACGATCCCCCCCCGCCGTATCCAGAGTCAGGCGAGACCACACAGCCTCCGACCCCCGGGCCACCCGTTGTAGACGAGACGTATCAGCGAGAACTACGAAGGAAAGCTCGCTACAAGGCGACCCCGGTGAACCAGTTCAATAGTCAGGCCAACCGCGAGCTCGAACGGCTTGTGCATCAGCTATCGGAGAAGCGCTTCGGTCGAAGACAGACGTTGCCGTGGGATGGCTCTTCAGATCTTCGAGCCAACTCCGAGAACAATGTCCGAAGCCGCTGGGTAGAACAAGGCATCTGGGGGAATGAATGGGGCCCAGCATGGCCCGAGGACAGTCATCCAATGTCGAAGAGATGGCAACAAGAAGGAGACGGTCCCTTTTTTGGTTCCTACAGCTCGTCCACTTCTAAGTCCTTGCCAGGCGCTCGTTGGGGCCACGAGGAACCTGATCCGGAGCCGGAATCGGAATCGGAGTCAGAACAGGAACGGCCACCTATCTTTGGTATTTTCGGCCTTGGTGTAGGCCAGCCAAAACGATCTAAGTCTCCGCAGCGTTTCAGGTATATCCAGACAGAACAGGGACAGCGTCTATATATTCCCAATCCCACCGTTCGCAATCCCGAGGCATCGCGCCCTTATAACCAGTTCTTATATCAGATATCCAAAGAGCGTGACTGGATCAAGGACGAGCTGGACTACAAGGCGCCCGGTACTAGCGTCGACATCGACACCATAGTCTACCAAAGCGTCAAGGACATGTGGATCGAAGATGGCATTTGGAATCCCAAATGGGGCGAGCTGCCAGGAATGACGTGGATCTACGAAGAACCCGAAGAAGAGGAGGCGGTGGAAGCTCCTGCATCTCCCGATGCCGTCGCAGGACAGCATGAGGACGCCATCGATGACGGCAGACAACACGCTCCCGTTCCTAGAACTCTCAGTATTTTCGGGCAGGCGTTAATCTCCAACATGGCCAGTGGTGGCACTGATGGCAGCTCCGCTCCAGCTCTTGGTGATGCCGGAGCCTCTACCACTGATAGACGGACCGGGACAAGGGAAGCGCCAAGTGACCAGACCGCAGTCACCCACGACGTACAGGACCCGGAAGACCGCCCTCGGCGTGCTGCTCGCATCGCGAGGCCACCGAGGGAGGAGCGAGCCCCCCGTCTACTGAAGCGCAGCCGTGGCTCTGACGCAGTCGTGGATGAACAGCCTCCCAAACGACCGAGGCGTAGTACTCGGCTCTCGGCTCTCCCCCATAATGCATCCGATCCCGCTGACGCAAACAAGCCACATGGCTCGAAGACCGTGGACACAAATGGTGTGGAGGAAGGAAGGAGACCGTCTTGTGATAAAAGGGCAGCGCCTGCAAGTGGCAAAACGAAAGGGAAAAAGGTCAATGCTGTAGCCAATCCAGTGCGCCGCAGCGCCAGGATTGCAGAAAGAGAAAGGAAACGGATGGCCGACATGGCGGAGGAGCTACCGTCGAAGTCGAGGTCTCCCCGAGCCAAGACGACAAGGACAGCTCGTCGAAAATAATGTGGCATGGTACGTCAGAACCAAAGAATGGGACAAGAAGAATGGCTCGTGTTTATAGGCAGAGGCTGGGAAATAGGAATGCTCACGACACCGAGGACTCGGTAGGTAGTTTTTGGGTTGAGATCTTCAGGACAATCGAGTTGCTGTTTTTTATTTTTATTTCCTCTACGACGAAAGATACTTCCGCCACCATCGATCATGGGACGTGAGACGATTGGCAATTTGGATCGGCCTTGTTGTCCCAAACAGAACATGCTAGTTGCGAAGCAATCACAGTCTGTGGCAGAATATATTCGCTCATCAAGAAGTATACACTGCCATGTAGTATAGAGCGCGATAGCCAGTCCCAGACCTGGTTGCACACAGTTGGCCTCGCACTGTTCATACCTCTATCATTCCGTTGACTCAACGTCTGTCAAAGGTTCTTGGAACTCGACAAACAAGAAGCCTACTGCCTTGAATGTGGCGATTGCACGTAACTTGAAACGGCCACGACTTGGCCTACTCGGTTGGGGATTCCTCATGAAAGGGCGACTGCAACTGTGCACGGAGCGCAGCTAAATGGGCGAGACACGCAGCTTCAGGTTGGGCCAAGGCAATGAAAACCGACTTGGGCCCATATCAAATCGAAGTTCGGGGGTTGTGCAATCTTGTTCCTGCCTCTGAACCGAGTCGGCGACTGCAGATGATGACGGCCTGCAGGGACGGTTTCAGGCTGCCATGACTGGCGAGGCGTCATTTTCGAGGAGTCATTTTCAAGATGCAGAGGCGGAGACGGTGAAAATAGATGCTCACTGCATACATGCGACATTTGAAGCAGGACGAGCATGAATATCCGTTGTCCGGGGCGTGTTCACCAGTTCTCGGGCCGGCCAAGTCGACAAGAACAGGCCTGCAGAAGCGCACAGGCAGCAGTGCATGGGGGTCTGTGAACAGGTAAAGGCCTGGCGACTTTGCAAGTTCTGACATCTGGTCTCATACGGAGGAGTGTCGTCCCCCATGAATGCCGCCACGCCGAGGCCGTTGGTCTTGATTCGATCCGTTTTCGAAGCCGGGCGCTGCGGCATCCGTGCATGACCGCACATGCAGTCCATGCAGTCCATGTAATGTCTTTACAGCTGCAAAGCACACAAACGGCCCTGCAGCGCCGTTGTGCAAGGTCGTCCCGCGAGACACTCTGCTCACAGACGAGACAAAGCTCCTGCTGGATGCCTCACGAGTCACGGCCGGCCGGCCTCACCAAGCTGGGAACGAAGCCAGAGGGCGGGCTGTGCATCTTTGGACATTTCTCGGAGCCATCCGAGGCCTGCGGCTCGACTTGTTTCTCTCTTGTCTGCGCGGGCGCGGCTCTTCCTTGTCTGCATCTGCGGGCTGTTTTTGTTGTGTTTGGCGTCGTCGTCTTGTTCGCTCTTTGCCGGCTTCCTACTGTCAGTGCTTTATTCACTCTTTGTTCGGTTGCGCTTCCCGGCCGCGTCTTTATTCTGCTTCGACTCGTCATTTTTCACATGCTCATGGGCTCTTCATTGTGCTGCGCGCGATGGTCGGCGTCACGCACTGAACATCGTCGTCGTGGAAAGCTTGAGGCCTCAGTCGCAAATCCGCCGCCTATATAAACCCCTTCACCTCGCCATTCTCTTCCAAGGAAAATATGTCTTCACCAACACCTTCATCTGGAGCCTCAATCACAAATCGACAAGATTTATATGCCCCTTCGCCCTCCGACATCCTCAACCAAAGGATATATATCTGCACCAACACCATCGTCGAAGCGTGGGCTCGATCACAAAGCCGCCGCATATATATCTATTCGCCTCCGGCACCAGACTCTATACATAAGCCAAGCCGCCCAACTGCACCAATGCGAGTTATTCCATCCTTCTTGGGGTTCAACAGACCGCCTTACAGAAAAGGCCTCATGATATGCGGTTTCCCCGGTATCGGAAAGTCAGAACTCGCCGATCAGCCCCTGCTAGTGCCCTATTACACGATTGTTGAGCTGCACTCGTCCAAATATCTCAAAGACAAGTATGGAAACGACAATGCTAACTTCGTGGCTGACTACTGCGGAAAACTGAGCGATGCCTGCCGGCGAAACACAATTGTCTTGGCTTCAACTCATCACGAAGTGCTAAGCCAATTATACGACCAAAGCGAGCCCATGGTCTTTATTTATCCATTCAGGTCGGAGAAAGACAAGTGGATCGCGCGCTTGCAGTCCAGAGGGGCATCTGAGGATCTGGTCAACTTGGTTCGAGACGACTGGGACGCCCTGATGGACGACTTCACGAGATGGGGTTATTTTTCATATAACTTGCGCTCAGATGAATATTTGCTCGAAGAAATCAATGGTATCGTCACAGATATACTTAATCGCCTAGAAGTACTTATGCCTGAGATAGAGGCCGAAGAGGAGTGACCTACGACATACTACGGCGGCAATCTCAGTCGACCGTACTATCAGGCAAGAATGGGGGGGACTGTCAATGTCGGGTTTTCATGTTACTGTTTGTGGATTCTGCCCAGCGTGATGAGCACGTGGGCTTCTTTGGAAAGACGGGTTCGGCAGCAAGTGAAATTCAAGTTCGATCGGGAATGTCTTCAAATTCCTACCGAACCCCGTCGACGGATTTCTTATTGCATGCACTCTGAGTGCCATGCGAATGCTGGAACTTGGGCACTATCCGACAAACCCGTGGCCTTGGGTTTGCCTTGGCAAATAGTGCAAACACCGGTTCTTTGAACTGAAGATTGTGACGCGGAGTTTTGTCTCCTGTCACTTTTATTCTATTGGATATTGCGAATGATGCGATTTTGGGGGATTTCAATCAAGATATGCGCAAGACGGATGAAGACGGGACAGGAGAGCGTGAATCAGTGCGGTTATCAAAATCATCTTGGGCAACACGGCCATCCAGTAAACTGGTGGCCTGGATTAGATTTCTCAAATAAACGGGTTATGGATTATATTTGCAAAGCCTCATTTTGCCAGTGCATGTTGTATGGTCGTCCTCGGATGACTGTTTTCAGATTGTGTAGTTTGCTCTGTCCAACCTTTGATGACGATTGGACTCGCCAAACAGGCAGCAGCGCGCCCATGCTCCGGGGGAATTCGAGCCTTTACTGAGATCCCAATGCCACTGCCAGACTTTGTATGTACTTGCTACTACATTTGGGTGTGGCAAGGGCAATACATTTGGCCCATCTTGTCGCCACTACGAGGCACCGTCCATGTGCCACCTTCCTTTGAGGGCATGTTTAGCGTAGCTAGCTGACGAGTCAACAAGTTCATGATTCTTTTACATACTCAGTCGGTCACTTGTATGATTGTATGGGTGTTTTCAGGCTATCAGGCTCGACAGCAGCCGCAATAAATACCATGCATCGCGGTCGAACTTGCACCCGCAAGTCTTGTCAACTGGTAGCCTGGTGCTTGAATATTTCTGCTGCTACGATTCCCGAACTGTCCAGTCTTCCTGGCTTTAACCGTACCATTGAAACATCTTTTTCCAATGAATATTCACATGTCTCTACCCCTTGACCGCATTGCCACCGTAGTATTCTGTCTCATCTTTTCATAATTGTCTCACACTGTTCAAAATTTACCATGGTCACGGCCTTGTTCCACGTGCACAAATTTATGACTAAGTCGTGGTTGTTATGACGGATATTGATGTTCATGGGCCAGGTCAGGCGGCACTGTGGCCTTGAACCTTCCATCAGACAGCTGGAAACAAGCCGCAGCACTTGCATGCAATTACTCCCGAGTATTCACTGTAAATGCACTGGGGTTCGGCTCCCTCCTCCTGACTACGTTCATCACCCAGTATTGCTGACCGGGTTTCAAGCATTTACCCTAAACCAGTTGGTTACATAAAAGCGCCCGACATGAGCATTCACTCATGATGCATGCAATAACCATTGTCAGCGTCCCTCAGAGATGGAATGAGCCATTTTTGTGGAATTACTTGAACAGAGTGAGTAACGAGTGTAGGGTCCCTGTCCACACTGCCATGTTATCCAGGTGTGCCGTGTAGATGGCACTTTCCGTGGCTAGTATTCAACCATATCAACTGTCGTGATTGCCATCCACATTTGAAATGCAATTCAAAATGTATCTCATCTGCCGAGCCATCGTTGAATAAAGCTACCTAAGCAGCCTTGCAAATCTCACAGGCTCGGGCCTGGTACGTGTAGGGTATTTGGCGCTGGTGCGGATCACGGGGACTGAAGTCTTTATTTGTTTCCCAACCAGCTCGCTGTGTCGGCAGCCTCGGTGGAAACAGTGTTCATCCTCAAAAATTGTGTAAGTGGCTCAAAAAGTAATCGTGATGTTTGTATAGCGTGTAGATTGATTATAATCAGTGTATTAGTGTAGACCGCGTGTCAAGGCTGGCGCGAAACCTGTTCACAGGGCCTGATATCGACCACCATATGCTCATCCAGCCTCGTGTTTAAAATGAACGAGACACGCAGCAATTTACTTGTTCCCCAGAAGTGGACGGCCGTTGGGCGCCGGAGGGCTCGGTCTCACGGCACCTTTTCGCGCCATAACCGCCTTGTTATTGCGATCTTTGCTGGGCCTGTCTGAATTGGAAACGGAACTTTGGGACGGAGGCTTGGGGGATACAGTGTAACCCACGAGGCAGTGATATCGGACCAGAACTCAACGAGTCCGAAGTGGGCTTTTCGTAGGGTTTTGGATTTTACAACCCTGGCTGTACTTGGATTTACCGGAAGAATGGGAGCGACTGCTGAGGCCAAGGTCTGATGAGAATGGTAGGGCAAGTAACTGGCAGGACAGAACTGTGCTCGGCGCCGCCTGTCTCTAATCATGGGTAGTATTGCCAAGAATCTTACATTTATGCCCATCTCGGGGTAACAATATGCTCATCCGCCTACCAAAGTGTAGTTAGATCCGTCAACAACGACTCTGCCCATGGGAAGGCATACTATGCACTAGCAACTCCAGTCGTCAATCTCGCCAAGTGTTTCTTACATCATCATAGTTTAAGAAGTAGGAGGCATTCTGTACGCGCACATGCTATCTTGAACTCAAGGACATGCAGCTGTGACTGATGACCAGATTCATGCTCACCTCATTAATGTGCTGTGTTTCCGCATGCTTCATTACATAGTCCGCGCTATCCAGAAGCTAGGCAAGGGCGTGATTTCGGCGTAAGATATCCTTGATAACGAGTAAAAGCGTTCTCCCCATTGTTAAACGAGACGGGATTCGCGATAAGTCAGTCTATCACGGATGGTTGTGTCGTTTGTACAAAGTGTGATGAAGCCTATCAAAATAGTTTCTTGGTCCTGCTAGCTAAGGTGCCGGATATCTACTTTTCTGGAAAGGCATGGACTACTACTACTCTTAGCACGCTACTTTAGATGAATCGTCGCATCGTATTGGTTAAAGAAAGGCTTCCCAGCGCATGTCTAAATATTGCATTACCGTATCTATCACGGTCTAAAAGAAATACTTTAATTTACAAGGACGAGAGATACTCAAACAATTGCATAGTGAAAGCGCCAAGTTTTGACTGTCGTGCCGCCTAAATCTAAATAAAGTAAAACAGAAAGGCTAATTTAGAGATGCAAGTCTACTAACACGAATAAACTTCTTCCGCAAGTCGACTCACTCGCCAATCATGGCCTTTTGCCTACTGCTGTATCAGCAATAGCAAATTCGTATTGGGATGCGATGCCAACGACCCAGAGTAGCAGTTGTATCGTACTTTTGCCAACGGCGCATTTCAACCCTCACTTCCGACTCTGAACCGCAATCCATCTAGCCTTTGCTCCTTCATCCTCTCTACTCTCTCTGTAGGTGAGGATCTAATGTTGAGACTATTAGTGTCATCTGTCACAGTCAGTGATGCGTGATCCTATGCACTTCCCCGTCACCCTCATGCCCTTTACACGCCCACGGCCTGTATCCTTTCGCATTTCTCAACACGGCTTCATTCTCGGTCCATCGTTGGCCAATAACACAGCATGCGCAATTCTCAACCGCAAGGACGCTAGCGTTATTAGACCACAGCATACAAGCGACGGTGTTTGCGAATGCCGGTCAACAAGGCCATTTACTGTCCTTCAAGTGACGCACTCAATTCGCGATGCTCATGGACAGCCTGATGCTTCTCGTTCGGCCAAGTGGAGAATAGGGTCTGGCTGTCTCAATCCAGCCAAGTTGCCACGCATCTCATGTGGCGTCGCACTTTGTGTGTCAGTTTCGGAGTTTCATGCGTGCCACGTCTCATCAGGACTTTATTTCTATTATCCATCTCCCACACAGGCACCCAGACATGTTCACTTAGCCGCCAAATCTAACCCGATCCTTTCCCTACATATCCCTAGGTAAATCGGTAATTGGCACTCGCGGCGCGGTGGAGTGAGCCACTCTGCTTGTTTATCTGCGCCGTCTCCATCGTGACGCCCACCGTCGAGCGCGGCATTCCGTCCAGGTGTCTGGTGTCTCTCGATTCCACACCGAGAACCGGCTGTAAGCGCAGTCTGCGGAATCTACGGCCGGTCGCGCTCAACTTCTACGGCGACGCTCTGCGGCAGGACTATATATAGCTGATATGACCACAGGCATGGACGAGTACGTTGGTTTGGGTGTGAAACAGGGCAAACAGTCACCCCGCGTTTCATGTCCAATCGAGCACGATACGGACCACGAGCCTGCCGAACAATGCTTGGTTGCTCCGTTGTTTACCAAGGCACGGAATGCGTGTGTGGAACAAAAGTTGGATCGGTGGAGGCCCCCGAGGGAGGCGCATTCCTCGACGCCTTTGTTCGCAAATTCCAGCGGTGAATGCCGTGGAGTACGGACGGGGCTGCAAACCGGTTCGACAGACGCTGCGCTCGGATCCTGGCCCGGGTATTTGACGGTTGTTTATATGCTTTGCTACCAAGCATGTTTCACGGCGGGCAAACTCTAGTCGTTTCGCTACCCACGGGTTCCTCAGGGGCGGACGGAGGGAGGCTGAATCCAGGAACGAGCGCGAGTTGCCAGCTTGGTACGTCGTCAACCTCGATACCTGATGGAACCTGACAGCTCGGCGGGATCAATACCTAACCCCCCTCCCGCGTGCCAACGTCACCCCAAGTCATCGGCGGCTAGTCCGCAGCCATTTCAGCAGACCGGCCGCTCTGCCGGCTTCTCATTGGCGGAACTAAGCATCGGGGTTGTATTTGTATCCATCTGTCCACCTGGCAGGCCCCGAGGATTCCGAGGCTGTGCTGGATTATGCCCGTTTCGGCAAGCATGGGCTTACGCCGCGCCGTACAATTCCCATTCCCTCGCACCAAGAGGCTGCGTTGGGAGCGGGATTCTCGTATCTGCCTTCCACGACCCTGGCATCCAACATGTCATGGCGCCCACATGGCGCCTCTTGGCGGTCGTTTGGTGAC